ACGATTTCTACTTTCTAATGAAATGAAAAGAATAAAAGCTCTTCATCTTTTTTTTTTTTTTAAACTATTGCCTCGTACAAGAGGAGCAAGACTTGCAAGACTTTTTCCTAAATTGAAAAAAACCCACAGTATTTTCAGTGTTTTCTCATATGCTAGCTCTCCAGTACCTGAGATACCTCACTGCTTTTCTCTAAATGTCCGTTGTTTTTCCAATGTCCTTTGTAAGTGTGGACGGTCTATATGCATAGAGTGCACCAGGTGAGGCTACATCCTTGATCTATACAACGCATTAGTGTGGTACTGAAGAAAAGTAAATGCATTCTAGAGATCTCCCTTCATTTCCTTTCAACAGAGGCATACTTTGAACAAAGGTCTTTTTCAAGCTGTCCTGAATGATGTCCAGATCCCCAACTTCAATTCGGAATCAGAAATTCTCTAATCCCCAGATGCCCAACCTTTTCAGAGGGGGACACACATTAATTGTTGTTCTCAGTCTTCATGGAGCAGGATCTAACTTCAGTGGAAAAGTACATATTTTTATCTATAAGCACTTTCAGAATTTTTGTACATCTCCTTGGACTATGTACTGCTTTTTAAATAAAATTATCACTACAGTTCAACTTTTCATAGTCTAACACCTCAAGGCCCAAAGCTAGTCTATGATTCTATAGCAGGACTATAACAATTACAATCTATCAATCAAAAACTACTGATCTCATTTTAACAGAAAAGAAGAAACTGACCTAAAAGATATTTCCAAATTTTTCAAAAATAGTAAAATGGTTGATCAAACTAGATTTGTCTCTAGTGAGGAAGCTTTTTAAAATAAGGAATATCCAGGAGCGACAGGTAACATTAAAGGTGTGCTCCTGCGAACAGGAAAGCACTCTAGTCGTATTATGGTCGCAACTGAAGATGCCCACATCAAATTATCATGCCAAAACCATATGATTGTATGTCCACTTTTAGTTTTCTAAGAAGGTCAGTATGCAAAGAACATGTAGCACTATCTAAAAGATACTCTTAAAATGCTAATCTTTGCAGTAGATCTGAGAAGTAAGTACATTTCTGCAGCAGTATAATATACGTGGGTCAAAACTTGTGCCAGATCTGAAATCCTTGTTGTGCATTGCAGTTCATCAGCTACATAGAGAGAACGGAGTGAACAAACTACTTCGAAATTCTTGTCACACTGGACAAAAAGAAATAATGCTTAATTGAAACTAAGAATATACTTTAGTTTTAAAAGAAGTTTTAACTCCTTAATTCACCTTATTTTCTTCATTTGTCACTTTCCAAAAATAACTGTGAAGCCAGAAAAAAAAAAAATCTAGTGTTTGCTGAAGAAATATTTAAGGTGGAAACATTCCAAGCTGATAGAACTGGTAATTGTTCTTTAGCTGTTCATAAGTGAAGCAGCCATGTGAACAGTGGTTTAACAGAGTATTCAAATATAAGTTTCTTTTTGCATATTGCTACAGAACATACTAATCTTCACAGCTCACTTCCCTGCAAGACATCATCCATATCAAGACAGCATTATCAAATTAATGCCTAAAAAAAAAAAATGCTGTTTTTATCATTTTCTTCAGATTAGGAATTGCTGATGTTTTACAATTTGTGCATAATGATACTAGTTAATAGTTATTAGCTAGTATCCTCTTCGTAGGTTGGCATCAAGCTCAAAAATAGTTATGGTTCTCTTGAATCCCAAACGACTGCAAGACTCATTGCCTCTTCGCTATGGAAACATGATGTATGCCTTAGCAAAATTGCTGAAAGTAACAAAAGAGCAGGCATCTATTGCATTACAGTTCCTAGGCAGAGACCACGTTAGATTCCTGCTCTGAGAATTTGGTTTGCACTCTTTGCAGCGCATTTCTCAAACCTCACCTTGCCAGAGATTCACTAATCAATAGTTGCACGGTATGAAAATCTGCAGAGACTATTTAAGTACATGAAAAAAGTTAGCAACCTGTTATCAAACACTTTCTGAATATACTGCTGCTATTGATCCATGTTTGATAGACTCACAGCAGTAATAATTTTGCAGATTCTCTGTTTTAGAAAGATACTGTCTCTTAACAGTTTTTAAATACCTGATGGTATATATGAAGGCATAGGCAAATCAAATGTTTTAAGCAGCTTTTTAGTGCAGACAAGAACAGAGGAACTGAAAATTTGCTACAAGAACAACATTAGAGTGATTTTGCTTATATGGCTTCCCTGAAGGACAAACATTATTAATTCTGAGTATTCAGAACAGTTATTTTTGCTGGTACAACAGCATCTAAGGTCAAAAAATATCTAGCTGCATTAAAATATAAAGGAAAAAAACCTAATAATCAATGCTGCTACACCAGAGTTCACAAATAGATCTAGTACTTGCATTACTCCAAGAAATGATCTAGGAAAGCCGTATTTAGTTCATAAAGAATGGACACAGGTAAGCTACCAAGCTTTTGCATTTTGGCGAGCATAGAGAAACAGACAGAAGCTGAAAATGAAGTCTCTTTGTTTTAAGTCTCCCCCCGAATCTTCCCTGTCCCTGCCAAAGAACCCTAGAGCATACTGCACCAACAGCAAAATTCTTACCAAGAGACTAGAAAGACAAATCAATTATCCCACCATATATTAAAAGACTATGGCTAACGGTAACACAGATACTAAGTTTCTTTTTTGCTATAATGCGTCCTCCAGCTTTATTAGACTGAGTACCTCCCCTCAAAGCGCCAAAGCCTCAGCAAAAATGTGACCCTTCAGCAAACAGGGTTTTTAAAATTATTGTTTTGAAATGCCTCTGCCTGCTTAAGCTCCGGAAATTTGGAAATGCTGACTTATAATCTTTCTTAAAAAGCCTTTTTTTTTTAAACAGATCCCATGTCTTTTCAGTAATTTTTAAAATCATTTTTTATTTTTTCGTACACAGATTTACAGTTCCCACATTTTGAAAGGACAGTTTGTGTTTTCCACAGCTCTCAATCCCAATTCAGTAGATTTCTCTGTTAAAATGACTCATTTTAACCTTGTGGCTCAAACTCCAAGAGCTTATTTATTTTTTTTGAAGATAGCTTTGACTTCAGTTACAGGCCCATGCATGTAGGTTCAGACTTCCCAGAATATTTTTAAAAAACATTCCCTGGATTCTGAAGTAACCTCACTGATTCCTTAGAAATGCAGCAGTTTTAATTTTAAAGCTTAACCTATAATTTTGAAAAGCTAACTAGACAGACATGGTCAAAAAGTGTCAATTTGGTACTACTGTAACCTGACTTAAACTGAACTCATCAAAAAACCCTAATTCATGTCCATGGCTTATTTTGGAACAGTCTTTTAGAATTATAGAAGGGAAAATTCTTAAAAATGCAATAATTATTTGCTCACAAAGTATCAAGTTCCTTTTCCCATGAATGTTTATCATTTTCTGAAACGATCTTAAGATACAATTTATTAGTACACTTAAGGAACTGAGTATGTACATAATTTCACTGAAATCAGTAAGTAAAATCTGACGTTTATATACCAGCAGAAATGTGAAATCACTGATTTTTGAACCAGAAATCTGATTCTAGGAATTTCCCCCTATAAAGAAAAATAAAAAGGAAATCACGTGGCCTGGATTTTTAACAGAGAGTTCAAATATAAGCAAATGACTCATGAAAGAACTATAAAATATTTGCAGAAATTATTGAGAATATGATTTTAAAAGAAGCATGGAGAAAAAAAATAGATTGCTTTTGGACAGTTCAGACACATGAAAAAAAGACTGCATGAAAAATTAACTGAATTTTCTCCCTCTACTCGTCAGTCAGTTCCTTGAAAGAAATGTTCCCTGTTATAAAATGACTACAGAAAAGCCTTATTAGTTTAGCTACAGAAATGGCTTTAGAATCAAGTATTTAGAACAGTTTTTGCATTCCTAAATATTAGGAATGTAAAGAATTTATAGGTTTCCCTACTGTTTCATGTATTTATCTGAAAGTGTCTCTGATAAAAATATGCACATAACAGTGTTACGTTACATCTGACCTCTTCTGTGACTTCTAGTCATGTGATAAAAAATGCTTTTGAAAATATTTAAGTCTAGATACAGGAAGATGACTAAACTCCTAAGCTTTTGTCTTCTAAAACTTTCCCATCGCTGCCAGAGCTGGTGAAGCTCCTCTAGTGGTAACAATGGTGGGAGCAGTAACACAGAAAAGGTTTCAAGCGCCTGCAAGCATTTGCACCGCTGCGTCTTCTGTCCAGCTAGAACAAATCTATACATTACAGCACTGAAAAAAATAGTAGCCACACATACCTTCCTGTATTCGTCCTTCCACTGACAGAGGTTAATTTCTGTTAGCAACATTGAAAAACTTGACATAAATGGATAACAGACAGGGACAAAGAACAAATTTGTTTAGCAAGTCAGCCAGCAGACTTACTGTACTAACTCCCCCTCTCCCACATTTGAAGAATGCAACTATCTTCTCTCTTTCCTTTTCCATGTAGCTTGAGAATTACATCCAAGACAGTATGAAGAAAGAAATGGTAGAGATCCAGCAAACTGCAGTGCAGAACCAGACTGCAGTAATGATTGAAATAGGTACAAACTTATTAAATCAAACAGCTGAACAGACCCGCAAATTAACAGATGTTGAAGCACAAGTAAGTAATGAATTTCAACCTAAAAATGGTTCTGCTTCCCAAAGCCTGTAACTACATTTAACACAGCTTAGTGTTACAAGAGCAGTGCTGTAAAAATTGAACAATTACTAGTCAACCATTATACTCAGTGGCTCTCCTCTACTTAAGAAAACATTAATATTTTGTAATGTACAGCCCCAGCCCAAGCTCACTGCCACTTGAAAGACTCCCGTTATGGTCAGGAGGACTTAAGTACGTCTAAGACGACAACCAGTACGTTCTTCTTTAAAGATAACGTACTTAAAAATTATGTATCTTAATTACACCCAAGCATTAACTGGGTAATAGTATGCTTTTATACAATCACTGTTTGTTCTCTCTATTGTTGATTATTCACCCCTTCATTTACCAGATCTTATCTAAAACGAGGATTTTGTCTTCATTCAAACTTTGTTCCATTTACTATGCCAAAAGGTTTTTTATATTTAATTTTTTCTATTTTTTAATTTCTTACCAATAAAAAGGCCTCTTTTTATGTAGCATTTTCACAGATTCTATAAGTGGGATAACAAATGATTTCCAGCACCACGCACTATATTATTGTTGTTACTTGTGAGTGATAAATTGAAAGATGAATCAAGCAAGAAAAAAGAATTAGGAGGAGGCTACTAGAAAAGTAAATTCACACCGAAGTAAACTTGCGTAGCAAGCATGCTGTTCTCTGAATGATTTCAAACAAAATATTAAAAGACATATTTAGTTATTGCTTTAACCGAAAAACATTAACTATAAGACAAATATGACGCGAATTAGAATGCAAGTTTTTAATATATTCTGCTTTTCAACATAAGGATAAAGCCAATTAATGTAGAATGCTGTCTACTTATAGTTTTCTTAACGTGGTAGGAAAAGATACATAATTCTTGAACAAATACTGAATAGATTATATAAAACTAAGTGCTATATACTATAAATAGTACACACAAACTAGAATCTTTGTTAGATATTTTACTATCCATAGAATTCAACCAATACATTCTAACATTTTTTAACCTCAAATAAGCCTTTTTGTACTCTTTGATACACCAATAGCTCATAGTTCAGAGGTGTGCAGAACTTAACCTTCTGATGCGCCCAGAATTTAAACACATGTTGAGAGAATATATTTATGCATTCACTGTAATGTCTTTATGGAAATTACTCAATTATTTTTGGCCTAGAGGAAGAATATCATCACTGTAACTTTCCTTCTCTGCTTGAAATTACTGGTGCCTGGGTTAAGGGCTTAATTAACAACATAAGGAAATTAACCAAACAACTGCTCTCTCAAGGACGCTCACTTTTGGCAATAATTTTCAATTACGCTTAAGTGTGAAATCACGTCCTGAATGACTGTTTAACATGAAGGACATGAATAACCAATTCTTCCTGCCAACGAAAGCCAAATTCTGATGAATTAAAAAAAGCTGTTCTTAAACAATGAGAAAATATTTCCAGAAAACATGCCTCAAAGTAATGCAATACAATACAAAGCAAAAAGTATCCTCCATGTTTCCTAATACAAGCATTTCTTCATTTAAAGATGCAAATGAATTTAAACAGCAAATCATATATATGTAGAATATATACAGAATACATATATTGAGATAGGTATATATATATAGAGAGAGAGAGAGTGCTGAAACACAAGAAATGAGTGAGATAAAAATGTAGTCACAGGATAAACACTATAAAACATAATTTGGGTTTAAGCAAAATAGTTATTTCTAGACACAGTGTGGCAAATTCTGGCACTTCTGCAATTAAAACAGAAATATCTATTGATTTCAGAGGACTGGGCCAAGATGTCAACTAATGAAAGATATACAAAGCACACTGACATCAGATTGAGTGTCTTTCTACACCAGACTGAGAAAACATCTCAATTTAAATTATTCTGTGTATAACAAACACAATAGTTCTAGCAATGAAATAAGGATCTCAAAACAGAGGGGAAAGTACGACAGCAAAACTAAAGGCCAAAGTAACTCTCAACAATTTATCAGAAATGTAACATATTACTGAAATATTTCCAATAATAAGTGTCAATAGAACAACAAAGATGCCATTGTGCATTCTTCCTTCTAATTTGTGCCCACGTTAACTGTTTAGACAAATAGCTTTCAAATTATCATCGTAAGGGATTTGCATGACTTCACAGTACAATGAAATTGCAATTTGTTAAAAAGTCGTATCTTGATTTTCAAAGACTTTTTAAAAATTTTATTTAGGTATTAAACCAGACAACCAGACTTGAACTTCAGCTTTTGGAACACTCTCTTTCAACAAACAAATTAGAAAGGCAGATTTCAGATCAGACGAACGAGATAACTAAACTACAAGAAAAAAACAGGTAAGCGTGCTACCAATCCAGCAAAATATTATTCTTTAAAGTGCCCCAAATTCCAGTAACATCAAGGACATGTGAATGCTGATTTTGTTTGTGAATTCTCATTCCTCAGTTTTAAGCATTACTATTTTTATATAACCCTTTTATATAACAGTATTAGCTTTCTTTGTGTTACGGAGACTAACTTCAGTAAATGCACTTGTTTCAATTAGAATTCTACACTTAGGTAAAGACCTCTTGAAAAGAAAATTTTTGGTTATATTTTACAAAGAGAAAAAATAGCATGGTTCATGAGGTGATGCATGTACAAGAGCTCATAGTCTTTCTTTAGAATTGAAATTATAACTCTGTGACAACTTAAGCTGATCCAAAATAAGGACTAACAGTCGTCTTTGTCGTTGGCTTCAGTGCCATCAGATGAGAGTACTGAAAATTGTCCTACGGAAAAGAGATCAATTTTCAAGCAGATCAAGTCCCTGAAGTAGTTTATTTACTTCCTGGCCTCAAATACCTCTGCTGTGAAGACAGAGAGGTGATGAGAACACACCACAGCAGCCCTGATAGTTTATTAACAGAGAAATACACTCTAAAGATGGGCCATGTGTTGCCAGTCTTCCTTGCTCCTCTATATGTCACTTGAATTAGATCATGTAAAGTATGCTAGTATATTGCAGTAATAATAATATATTTGAACGAAGATAAGACAATCATTGTGTCAGGACAGTTATTTTTATGAATACAAATACGTTTGTTTGCGTGATTCATTGCTTTCTGGTGTACAGCAGTAGAAGGGACTCGTTTCGGGGGAAAGAGGCTGCAGGTTTATTCAATTTGTTATTCACAAATGCAAAAGGACAAGATACATTTATCAGATACTACAGAACCTGTGAAAAAAGCCTCAGACCTATCTTCTTATTAGGCCTTGCACAGAATCTCCCTTCTCCACAGCAGTACTCGTTACAAAGGCCATATATTATTTACGGCCAGCAGAAACATGCAGGTCTATTCTCATTTTACATCAGATAGGCAACTGCAACTCTGTGAAGCATCCACTAAGCAGCATCCATGTGATCGTTTCAAGTGCAAAATGGTGATTGCTGGGAAAACAGACTACTTACTTGATTGTGCAAAATAATCTTCTTGAAGTGCTTAAGTCAGTCAACAAACCCCATCCCAGTTCAAGTGATCAGAAACCTAAATCCCAGAGACTTTCAGTGAGATGTAGCTGCAGCAGTTGTATATTCCTAGCAAGCCATAACTAGACATATTCTGGTTATATATGGCTCTTCACTATCTAAAGTCCTGCTTTGTATGAGGAAGTGAAGGTTAAAAACTGAAATACTTCTCAATACTTCAATTGTAGCCGATTTATATTCTTCTTAAGACTTACCCAGATGAAATTATAAATTATATAACATGATTCAAACCCAGCCAGTGCAAACACATCTCTAACTAAAAATTCTACTTTCATTTAGTACAGAGCTAACCTAATACACAATCATATCATTGTCATATTTTTTTTAACCTTATGAGAAAAGTCAGACTAGTATGTCTCAGGTTCCTAACCATTCTATCTTTTGAAATTCAGATTGATATCCAAATATTACTGCCCTCCACTTCTGTACTCAGCCACGGACTAAAGGTGCATGCTTTTTTTTCAGTTAGTTGCAACTTCACATCACTGGGGTCTTATTTTATTTTTGGCAATAAAGAGTTTACAGAGAAATCTCAAAGCAGCAGTAACAGTGTGTTTTCTCCTTCAAAGTCATGTTTTTCAATGAAAACCATATGTGCAAAGTGCTTTTTATTTTAAAAAACATTAGCTTAAAAAAGCTTGAGACATGTTTTGACATTTGTGTTCTCTACTCTACTGTATTTATATATGCTCCCTAAAGGTTTACTCTGCCAGTTTAATAAAACAAGCATCCTTATCCAATGGAAGGGAAACTAAATACTGAATTTTAGAACGTCACTGTTTTTGTGTTTAACTCGGTAGACCTTAGACTACCTCTATAAAACCCATGCAAACACAGAAGCGTTATTTCTTATCGAAAAAAATCATAATCTAACATTCAGTTCATCCGCTTGAAACATAACTATAAGGTTCAGGATTTTTTTTCAATAACACAGTGAAGGATTTTAGGCCACTGTGCATTTTTTTAAAATTAGCTTTCTCAGAATCCAGAACAATTACCAATTAAAACATCTTCCAAGCAGCCACCTACTCAGGCCATCGCCAGAACTCAAGATGAGCAACACATCACAGAGTAACTATTTGTACATTTTCCTGTCTGAAGTCTGCAACATTTATTTCTGTTAAGGACATCTAATACAGGACAATAGAAAAGTTAAAATGTTCATCTTTGAATGAGTTTCATCTTTCAATAGGGCAAAACTGTATCCTTCACTGTTACGCCAAACCTTTGGGAGAAAGGTATTCAAGATGATTCATAGTCATAAGTAATGGTTACTTTGGGTCTAAATGCATTTTTATATTGATTATCCCTGTACTTCTAGCCCTACTATCCTTTTTTCAGGACTAAAAAGATATCTTTTTTTTCATAACATTGAATTATCAAACACCGAACTGCTACACTTTATAACCTTGCAATACAGACTGCAATAGAAATTGTTGCTCATTTATTTATATATTAATTTGTTATGTAATAAAGACGTATGTATCAACCACCAGCTTTCATTCAGCTTTCTACTGCATGCATAACATCAAATAGAATTGTGTTCTTATAAAGAAGGAAGTGACTTCTGCAACAGGCTTAATATTCTTTATATCAGCTCAAAATTGTTTCTTGAAACTAACTGAAATCTTTCATTCAGCTTTCTAGAAAAAAGAGTTCTTGAGATGGAAGACAAGCACACACTGCAGCTAAAGTCAATAAAAGATGAAAAAGATCAGCTTCAAGTACTAGTATCCAGACAGAATTCTATCATAGAAGAACTAGAAAAACAGTTAGTTACAGCTACAGTAAACAACTCAGTTCTGCAAAAACAGCAACACGATCTGATGGAAACTGTTCATAACTTGCTTACTATGATCTCTACACCAAACGGTAAGTAAAAGCAGACGTACCTACATCACTGGAGTGACATTCACTAACTTGGGTACACTCTTACCTATAATGTTTTAAAACCATTTTCCCCACATTTCAGCTTCTCCAAAATTAATATTTGTACCCCAAACTCTATGATAGAATTAATGGACCTATTTTTCTGAGGGGGCGGAGGGAGGGAAGCTTACATGATTGGTTTTCAACATTTTGCTCATCTTCTGTGCTCTATGTCGGTTTGCCTGCCCAGTTCTCCAGTAGTACAACAGAGATGCCAAATACCATTTATCTCACATGTTATTCATTCATCTGGCAATACCATAATACTTTGCCTTAACCACACATCCAAGTTAGACTGCATGACGTAGGCACATAGTTTTTCTTCCTGGCTCACAAATATTACTCCAGGAGCCTGCATCGTAACTAGCGTCTGCCACCTTACATTACTGTACATACACAGAGTTGATCAAAGATAGACAACTAATAGAGGCTATTAAGGACAAAGGAATCAGTGCTGGCCCACATCTTAGCACCCAGACCACAGAAGGCATCAGTCTGGGGCAGCAGGTGCTTCCAGAAGTCCTCCAGTCTTTCACTGAAGCTTCCTTGTTCATCCTAAAAAACCACTCATCCTAGCAAGTTTTATATATTAAACCACTCCTAATATACTTGACAGCCTGGCTACAAATCATAGCGAACCACAGCTTCCATATTTATACAGGTTCACATGCTTCATAAAAGGCCACACAAACCATAAGCGGAAGATTATGGCTGCACAGGAATCAAACAAGTGAGCTAATTTCTTACCTTAAACTTCATGCCTCATATGGAACTTTAACCAATTTAGAAGTTATAGATCCTCTCTATAAAAGAGTAAAGATTCTAGAATATTAGCCTTTGAAGTCCTCAGGGCTGGAAATACACAGACATCTAAAAAGAATTTAAAATGAAATACTAGGAAAATTTTAAAATAGTTTTCATTACAACTGAAAAGAGCATAGACAGGCTCAGTTTCATACTTTAACAATACATGTAGGACCAAAACATGCTTACACATTCAAATTTCAGTAAATAGTTTGAGAATGCAAATTTTCCTGTCTTAGAAGTTGCAGCCCAGAAGACAGTGTCCAATGAATTATAAATATACATTCAGAATGCTGAAAATGCTTTTTACTATAAAAACTGCAACCTACATTATTTACTCCACAAAAAGTTTATTTAACATCTCCCTAAACTATTATTTTAACAAAGAAAAGCATGTTTTCATTTTATATACTACTTTCTCCATTTCATTCAGCCTGAATAATTAAACAAGACTCCTATAGCTGTTTTGTAGTTCGTTTCACTTTGAAATTATCAAGAACTATCTACTGTACAGTAAGTTGGATCACAAATACAGAAAAGTGTTGAACAAGCACTGTCTATAGTGTTCTAAATAATACGATTTTCTAAGTTTTTCTAAATAAAACGAAATACCAAGTTTGTCTTACTACACTACGGGGCACAATCCCCTTAAAAAAAAATACCAAGGCTGTACACTGTCCTGCTGATGTTATCTGTTATGCTAGTGCACAAATAAGTAAACAAGTCAAAGTCATGTTTGCTACAACACCATTAAACCCGGAGTGGAAAAAATAATGAATGTTTGCCAAAAAGACAAAGTTAGCAGGGAAAACTTTTAAGACAGTATACAAACAATAGAGTGTGGAAAATCAATTAACACTGAATGTGTTATTTTTATATTTGAGGCACAGCATGTAAACAGGTGAATAATGAATAAGCAAGCTGAAGAGAACATAGTATTAAGCAATAATAATATAAGCATATATTTATAAAGCACCTAAAACTTTGTAGTGATTGGCTGTGTTCCTTAGATTAAATTAAAAAGAGAAAATACACAGAACCAACCACCAAAGGGTTGAGCATAAAATATCAGTCAGCAGGCTAAATGCCAGGAAATTCCAACCTTCATAGTTAATAAAGAACTCAACAAAAAGATTAGCCTTAGATTGTTTTGTAAAACTAGGTGGCTTTGACATATTAAGAAGTATTTTTTACACAAATTAATTTCAGAAAGGATGATTCCTTACTGGGCTGTGCTGAACCACCACAGGCATCAGCAGGCTATGTACAAAGTTGCTCCTGCTCAGTACAGAGAGGAAAACCTACCTAAAACTTTTAAAGAGCAATTACTCCAGTTAGCTGTGTTACAAAAGACTTCACAAGTCTTTTAGTAGATTTTACCACTTTATAGAGTTCCGGCCAAAGGTCACTATTAATACAATCGGTTACTATGTAGATATGTTTGTAATAGTAGCTGATCATGAGGTTGCAATGCATGCAGAGACCAGAAAAGGCTTCAGAAGCAGAACCTGCTTAACTGAATATTATATCCCGAGTTTTCTTATTCAGCACATTAAAAGGTATCATCTCTTTTGAACCTATCAAGTAGCCATGCTTGTATCAGAACAACCTTTCCAAATATATAAAGTAACACATAAAGACGTAATCTGCCATTTCTTCCAGGACCAGGCATATTTTTCATTATTTACTCCTTTGTAACTTTTATTCATCTCCTCTTAAGTGCCTTCAATTTCTTTTTTTATTTTTAGCAGCTAAAAACAACTTCATAGCTAAAGAGGAGCAAATCAGTTTCAAAGATTGTGCTGAAGCATTTAAATCTGGCCTCACAACAAGTGGAATCTACACCTTAACAGTTCCTAACACTGCAGAAGAAAAGAAGGTAGGATGCCTATAAGATGCTACCTATGCATATATGTTAAAATGATTTTTATCTAACCATGCTATTTTAAAGCCTAGTTAATAGTGAACTTTTACCCAGTATTTACTTACCATGTTTCTATTGTTAGTGCATCACTTAAAGGTCTGAATCCTCACAGGAGGAGAAAAGTCCTTCAGATGAAATCTTGGCCAAGCATTTTATTGTTCACTTCAACGACCCAGGATTTCATTCTCTGTTTCCACATAATCAACACCAAATTGGAGTAACATAATACTGTCATCTCTTTATCAAATCTCTCACTCTTATACAATCACTGTACATGATCTGTGGCACAGGTCACGGTACTGCCTACAATTCACGAAAACCCCCGAGTACAGTAGTCCTTTTCTCTGAAGATATTTCTGCTCTGTGACCAAAACACACTAATGTATACAAGCCTTGAGTGTTTTATAACCATGACACCTATTGACTCTGCTTTGACAGCTAGTTTATCATGAGATATTAAAAAAATGCAGGTTTCCTTTATATATCACATTGAATTAATTCTTCCTTTGCGGCTTCACAAGCCCAGGATCATACCACTTTTGGCGATGAAGGAAATTCAAAGCTAGCATTTCAGGAGACCAGGAGTGCCAGCAATCTCCTGTTTCCTCAAAGTTCTTAATACCTTCATATGCTCACATCCCTTCAGGTGGCAAAATGAGGTATGTGTATAAATATATATATACACATATACACACATATATATAGACTTCCTTCACAAAAGGGGGCACAAAAGAGTACTTGCAGATGTGTATGTATGTGAGCAATTTACTAGTACTGGACCCCACGTACAGATTCCCATTTATTATGTCATGCAGAGTTTTAAGAGCATTTGCATAACTGATTAGCAATTGGATCAGTGCAACTGACACTGGGATACAGCTAGAGAGGACCTTCCTACAAAAAATATTGCTCTGATTTACATAAAAGGTGAGACTTTGCAGTGGTTTCACTAAATCAGTTTAAATGGATACTGTTTAATTGAAATGAACTTCAAAGTCTATTTAAATTAAATCAATGCGCTATTCCCCTGTAGAAGAGAGCTGAGCTATAAAGCGCACTCGCTGGATGAAACGCTGGATGCCCGACAGAGACACTTCATCTACTAGAACAAATAGAATGATAAGGCTTCAGGTGGTATAATTCAATAGAAACAAAAATTGGAAGGTAAACCAAGTCCCAGATGGATTACAAGGAAAAAAGAACCAAAAACAGCAGGGAGGATTCTGAAGACCAGGGCTCATACAATGGCTATTTTTGTTTCCAACTTTTCAGATACAGCAGGCAGAGGAGGGTAAGGGACATCTGAATATATGCAAAAAATGCTTACTGTATTTCTTAGACATACATTAAAAGGGGTAATTTGTACTTTTTTATTTTAGGATTTAATATTGTAGTCATGTCGTTACAAAAGGGACTATTTACGGAATTCTTAAGGCCCTATTTTGTTATATAAGAAACACTCAGAAACAAAATACCTAATAGAAAACGTACACAAATAAAGAAAAATGAGGGCACATTTGGAAAAGCAGCTGGTAAAGCTTTGACAGAGAAAGCAGTTTTTTCCTCCAAATTTTGATAGGAGAGAAATTTAGTTCACCAGTGAAGTAAACCGGTTGAAGACTTTTTTATGTAGCCCAGGCCCAACTGTGATCTTTACCCTTACAAAGGCCCCAACTAAAGGAAATAAAAAATCTGTTTAGGTAAAGCCTAGAAAATGCAAAACATAAAAACGGTAGCTTTTGTAGATAATATCTAGAGAAGTTAATGATATCTGCAGTCTGCTTCTGGTTTTTTTTTTTTTTTGGAATAATATTGTCTATATTCAGTACATCTGTTCCGCAAGAAAATTAGTTATATAAGATGCATTCAGAAGGCATTGTATTACTCACAAAGTGGAAGAGTATTTAAGTAGCACAGATGACCTACTATCCACAATTTTATATGCTACCGGAGATGCAAACTACTGCATCTCTAAAGTAATAGATTGCGGCAGTCTTTTTAAGACATTTCTGAAAGGGTCGCATCTTTTGAAGCTCTTAATATCAGTTGTCTCCAGATGTTACCATTGGTTTTAATTTTACTATCAAATATGATATACAGAGCATGAGTATTTTCGAAAAGCAGACACAAGGGCATGCCGTATTACAAAATGGATATTTCTGATTGTCAATTTTTAACTTTACATTTTCAAAGCCATATTTTAAGACAATTCATACGTCTTGCTATAGATTCTCGGTAGCTGAAGCAATTCACATTTCTACAGAGATGTCACTAGTCTTCCAGACTACTGAACTCAGTTTTTAGGACATTATAGGTTATTTTGGTTAATAGTTTATCTGTCTCGGCGACAAAAATACAACTGCAAACTTACTAGACTGTAAAACATTAAATGCTTTATATTTGAATATAGAGGCCTAAAACACTTAGCAGAAAAAAACACTGTGACAGACAAATTTGCTAGGTTAAAACAAAAACAGTTTTATTCTACTTAATAATATTGACTTTATTGTGCCAGTGCAGGTAGAATGAAAAAAGACACTGAAAGAAACAGCTAATGAAAGTTTTACTTACCATACGAAGTGAAATAAAAAGACTAAATGTTTTAATCTGATGCAGATTTTTATACAAATACAAACGCATTAAATAAGCTGTCAAGGGAAGTGAAAGGATAATCAACACATTACACCATTTTCAACTGTTTACGATGTGGATGGCTACTCGGACCAGGAAACAGAATGACCTTTTTTATTTGCCAAAAGTGCTGCACTGCTGTTTATGTTTTCATCTTTTCCTCTTGTAACACCTTCTGACCTCCCAACAGGCTTATAAACAAGTCCTGTGTAACCTGCGTAACTGGTCCTACTTCACTCATTTGTCTTCCATCATAATGCACAACTAAAGAGGTGCATACGAGAGCTGAGAGGAAATCAATTATTTCATTCCACTAATATTTTCAAGCTTTCCTGTTCTTCACCAGGACAAAAGCTAAGACCTTTTATAAACACTGAGGAAAAACAGCAAGACTGCTGACACAAGAGAAAATAACAGAGGCAAACCCATGAAAAGTCAGTAACTTCATGGTTATAGCACTTACATGAACCAACTAACTTCCTGGTTTTAATCAGACAGGACAATTGAGCCTGGATGATCCTGAATGCCACATAAGGGCAACACATCAGCTCAACCACTACCCACTACTCTTACCAGCGTATTATCCTAAATCTTAAAATATCGGCTGAAGTAGTGGCTGAGCTCTTCCCCATCTCCCTCCCCCATCTGAGTAGAAATTTCATCCTAAATCTGACATGTTCCAAGCAGAGGTCTTTTTCTAAACTTTTTTTTTTTCTTGTAAAAAACAATTTGGACAAGTTTGAATTTAGCAACAAGAACAGTTCTGTAAAACTTTCCTGAAAAGTGATCAGGTAGAGAATTAGCTAGTCTTTTCAGAAGGAGCCCATGCCACGGAGGTTAGATTTAAAAATATACATACATAAAGTGTTGCCAACCTCAAGTTTAAAAAAAGGCATTTGTATTGCTTCCACCATACAATAGCGGTTTAGATGAAGCGGCTTTTTCTGCATTTTAACCGTCTCCATCATCTGGCTTTTTAACTAGTAATTGGTATACATTAAATTACTTTGTAAACCATGTATGTGATTACTCCTTCCAAAATAATGAAACTGAGATTCTCATCTAGTCATATCTCTAGCAGCTAGAGAAAGAAAAATATAAAATCACTGGGCGCCACGACTGAAAAGCTATTTATGAAAATTCAGCCAATAGCCAAAAGCGATGCAAACGGAGACAGCACAGATGTGGCAACACTGCTTGTTTCGATATAAGAAATTAGCGGATCTTCATCCCGAGAATTCAGCCCATCGTCTTACCACTCAGACAGTAAGACTGAAAACACTTAGTTCCTAAATATCTTAAAAATATATCTAAAAAGAAGAAAAATGACTTGCTCTGAAGGCCAGAGCACCGTTGCTAGACAGTGAAGACAAACTGACTGCTCACAGTTGACAAACTTAGAATCTTTGGGAAAGGTTACTACTTCTGAGAATACATGTCTTAGCGCATTTTCAAAAATACAGCACTGATCCTTAGCTGAAGGTGAAAAATATAAACACTGACCTTAGCTCCCACAGTGCTACAGCTGCTACAACTGTAAGTAGTAAAGGAGTTCACAATATAAATCAAATACACCCCCTGCCAACTTGTTGTAATTTGAGAAGCTAATCTCTTTATTCCTTTTGGCATCTGTTTGAAGACTCCTGCTGCCTGTCTCATCTTGGTAGCTATTCTTACTAGGTCTATGGAACGTTACATTTCTTCCTTTTGAACACAAAACCTAGGCTGGGCTCAAAGGTCAGAAGAGCTCTGTTCCAGTAACGAGTGTCACAGAAAACTTCATATGCGTATCATTTTACTGAAGATTAATTTTTTTATAAAGTTACAGTCTAAATAAATACTTCCTCCTCCCTCATCTGTCACATACTTGATTAAGACATTTTTCCCTTTGCAGACTGACGCAGCACATTTACTGTGTTTATTTTAAACTAAGCAAATCTTTTCCTTAATCTTCATTCCACTGAGCAGACTATCTTCATCCTTTAAAATATTTATATATGTCATTCACTTAAATATTTTTAGGAAAAAGTAATACAAGTTAACCAACTTATTTCACTGAATCTCTTTCTTTAATATTTTCTGTCATT